TGAGCCACTCCACACAGCATGACAGGGATATCTGACAGATAACAGGGAACTTGGAACCATATTGAAGAAGAATGTTCAAAGTGACCTTCCCTAAGATCATTCCTTCCTACAAGTGGAGGAGGATAGAAGGCAGAAAACTTTGGAAGCGAACTGCTGGCTAGGTTAGTGGTGTAGGATGGAAGGCTTTGATTTTGTGGAACATTGGTCCATCTTCTAAGAGAAGAGGAGGCCTTCATCGCAGTAGAAGCTGAACCAATCTCCTTAGGGACAAGCTGGTTAGCCAGGAGGGCGTTAAACTAGGAGCAAAAGGGGAAGGTAAAAAGAGGTAAGAAATGGGCACTCATTTAGCACAAAGTTGAGATGTGGGGGAAAAAATTAATTAAGGAACCAAAGAACATGCAGAGAAAAAATGAATTGCCTATACAACAATGCTAACAAACAAAGGGAATTCAAAGTGCTCTTTAAGAGCATAAATTTGATCTAGTTGGTATTACTAAAATCTGGTGGGCTTATTTGCCTGATTGGAATGTTAAAATCAATGATTATAACCTATGTAGGAAGGATTGAGTGAGCAAAAAGAGTGGGTGGGGAAGAGGCACTCTGTCCAAAATGGCACTATTTCCAAGCCACTGATAACTCAGAAGGAAGTGATCTTGAATGCTTACAAATCTTGAATCCTAACAAATAAAGTACATGAAGAGGTACTAGCTCAGAGGTGGGCAAACTATGGCCTATGGGCCACATCCGGCCCACGGGACCCTCCTGCCCGGCCCTTGAGCTCCCAGCCGGGGAGGCTAGCCCCCGCCCCCTCTCCCGCAGCCATGCCACCGTGGTTCTGGGCAGTGGTCTGAGTGGTGGGGTTGCGCACTCCTGCCGAGCAGAGCGGCAGCATATCTGGCTCCCGCCAGGCGGCGCAGCTGCCAAACATGCTGTTCTGTGCGGCATAGTAAGGGGGCCGGGGAGTCCCAGGCGGCAGTCAGGGGACAGGGGGAGATTGGATGGGGCGGAGGTTCTGGGGGTCGGGATGGGGAACGGGGAGGGGGTTGGATAAGCGTGGGAGTCCCAGGGGGCCTGTTAGGGGACGAGGGTGTGGACAGGGGACAGGGGTGGTTGGATAGGCATGGGGTACCGAGGGGCCTGTCAAGGGGCGGGGGTGTGGATAGGGGTCAGAGCAGTCGGGGACTGGGAGCAGGGGGGTTAGATAAGGGGTGGGGTTCTGGGGGCAGTTAGGGGCGGGGGTTCCCAGGAGGGGGGAGTCAGGGGACAAGGGGCGGGGGGGGGGGGGGGGGGGTCAGGGGTTCGGGGGGGGACGATCAGGTGGTGGGAAGTGGGAGGGGACGGATAGGGAGCGGGGGCCAGGCTGCTTGGGGAGGCACAGCCTTCCCTACGCGGCCCTCCATACAGTTTTGCAATGTGGCCATCGGGCCAAAAAGTTTGCTCACCCCTGTACTAGCTGGTGTCTGCTACAGACACTAAAAATCACACATGAGAACAGGATTTACACACCTATCTGTAATGAGTAGGGGGAAAAAAGCCGCTTGATCCTGAGGGACTTTAAATTGAGTGCCATATACTGGAGAGCTCATGCTGCTAATGCTTGGAGAACATCCTTGACATTTCTAAACATTCGAGATGGCAATTTTCTAACAAACTGTTGCATCCAACACAAGGGAATTCTATATTAGATCTCGTCCTTACAGATGGAGAACTGATCACAGAACTAAAAATTAATGGTAGTTTAAGTACAAGTGATCATGACTTGATCACATTTGTAATGTGCAAACAGAAAAGAGTCCAGACCTGTAATATATATATACACTTGGTGCTTTAAAACAGGGCTTTGGAGCTGTGCTCCAACTCTGCTCCAGCTAAAAACCTGCAGCTCCACTGCTCCGGAGCTGCTCTGCTCCAAAGCCCTGCTTTAAAAGGGCCAATTTCACAAAGCCAAATCAGCTGGGAGGAGGAAGGTTTTAAAGAACAAAAAAAAATCCTAACAATGGTATTGATCCATTACTACATGGAAATAGAAGAATTATCAGCAATGATGCAGAAAAGGCAGAAGTGTTAACTAAATATTTCTGTTTAGTATTTGAGAAAGACACAGATGTAGTCTCATTATACGATGATAAAACTCTTTCCATTCCACTAGTATCACAGGAGGATGTTCAACAGCAACTACTAAAGTTAGAGATTTTTACATCAGCAGGTCCATCCAAGAGTTTTAAAAGAGCTATTTGAGCAGCTTGCTGGACTGCTGATGTTGATTTTCAATAAGTCTTAGAACACTGGGGAAGTTCCAGAAGACTGGAAAAAAGCTAATGTTGTGCCAATATTTCAAAAGGGTAAATTGGAAGACTCAGGTAATTATAGGCCTGTCAGTCTCTAATTGATCCCAGGCAAGATAATGGAGCAGCTGATATGGGACTCAATAAAAATTAAAGGAGGGTAATATAATTAATGTCAATCAACATGGGTTTATGGAAAATAGATCCTGTCACACAAACTTGGGGTTTTTTTTGACGAGATTACAAGTTTAACTGAAATGTAATAGTGTTGACATCATAAGTTTAGACTTCAGTAAGGTATTTGACTTGTTACTGCACATTTTGACTAAAAAACTAAAACAGCAAATTACCACCACACACATTAAGCGGATTAAAAGCTGGCTAACGGATAGGTTTCAAAATGGTAAAACGGGCAATCATCAAACAGGTGTTTTTCTAATGGGATCCCACAATGGTTAGTTCTTGGGCTGTGCTATTTAACATTTTTATCAATTACCTAGAAGAAAACAAACTTACCACTGATAAAGTCATCAGATGACATAAATTGGGGGCGTGGTAAATAATTAAGAGTACAGGTCACTGATTCAGAGCCATCTGGATCATTTGGTAAGCCAGATGCAAGCAAACTATGCATTTTAATACAGCTAAATGTAAACATACATATCTAAGAACAAAGAATATAGGCCAGATTTACATGATGGGGGGCTCTATCCTGGGAAGGAGTGACTCTGACCCAAAGGGGCTAATGGGATCCCAAGATGAGTAAACAGGGAATCTTGAGGAGTAGTAGGGAGGTTATTTTATCTTTGTATTTGGCACAGGTGCGACCCCCTGCTGGAAAACTGTCCAATTCTGGTAGCCAGAAATCAAAGATGTTGGTAAACTGGAGAAGGTTCAGAGAAGAGCCACAAGAATGATTAAAGGATTAGAAAACCTGTCTTATAGTGATATCCAATGGCTGGAAGTGGAAGCTTGGCAAATTCAGACTGGATACATGGTGTACATTTTTAACAGTGAAGGTAATTAACTATTGGAACAATTTACTCAGGGTCATGGCAGATTCTCCCTCACTGGCGATTTTTAAATCGTGATTGGAGGTTTTTCTTAAAAGCTCTGATCTAGGAGTGATTTGGGGGAAGTTCTCTGGCACAGGAGGTCAGACTATCACAATGGTCTTTTGGGGCCTTCGAATCTATGAACTGCAAATAGGATGCACCTTTCCCTGGGGACAGTGATGTGAAGCAATGGGGATAGAAAGCTGCTAGGACCAGTTTAGTGAACACAGCACTTTCTTGCTGGGGCTCAGATTGACAGCACTGCTGCCAGTTCCATCGGCTGGTGAGAGCACCAGGACACATGCTAGTGGAAGCTTTTAATGGCAGGGAGAACCCAGTGAACCCTCAAATACCAGCAGGGGAAATCTCTGTCCCTGTACCAGAGCATACTTACTGCAGGCTTTGCTAGGTCCTCTCCTTATAGCATTTACCCTTGCCTTCAAGTCTCTCCACAACTCTGCACTATCCAACTTGTCCTCTCCTATTACACCCCCCTTCCACCAACACCAGCTTGCTAGCAGGATCTAATCCATGAAAACACTTCTTCAAATCTCTCCTGCAGACCTCTCTCTGCTGGGACACCTATAAGCAATCAGCCAGTTAACGATGGCCAGCTGGGCTAAATGACTCTTACATTGTCTGTTCATAACAAATCTGCTTTGCCTGTCCCTACAATTTCCCTTTTCTTGAACTGTAACTCTTCAGGGCAGGCGCTGTCTCACTATGCCAAAGGAAGAGACACAGGCTTTCATATGCACGTGATATGTCCAACTTTAATGTTCTTGGCCCCCATCGGGGGACACCTAGTGAAGTATCAGCAACAGCTGCATTTTCCTTTTACAAGTCCGCATTCTAAGGCACATTCTTAGAGCACATGGGTTAATACAGTGATGTGTCTCAGTATATTCCACCTCTGAATCAGACCCAGCCATCCACCAAGCGTATATGCAATTCATAGAGGTGCCTACTTCAGTGGAATAACCTGGCCCCTCTTCCACCCTAAGTGTGCCAGGAGCAGTGCACATGTCTGGCATAGTTGCACAGGTTTATTCCTACTCCATTTGAAGATGGTAACATTAAATGAATTAGGAACAAAAATGTTCTTTGCAGGATCCTCCCAGGCACCAGTGTGAAAGATCCTCTCTGCACGGTACCAGAGCCATGGTACAGCTCAGCAGCAGAGCTCATAACAGTGCATGGAGTCTGCGTGCAGTGGAAGACCCAAGACCCCCAGATACTGGGCATTCCGCAGACATAAAAAGTGCCAACTCAAAGGGCCCTGAGCAGGACTGCATGAGGAGCCCATAAGTCTTTGCACTGGGGATCAGAGGGAGGAGCAACCTATTTCTCCATCAAATTTCCATGTTATTCCTCCTCCTCTGACTTGGCCTCTTCCAGATGCTATGACTGGGAGAGTTGTCAAATTCGAAGGCCAAATCCTAATCAGACTTGGCCTGAAATACAACAGTGTCAAGTCCACACTGCAGTCCAGATGCAGCTAGAGCAGCCTCAGTTGAGAAGGAGCATTAATAGAAGTAGGACGAAGTCCCAGCACTCTAAACCTCTCTCACTCCATGGAATCTAATCCAGGCCTCTATCCCAGACTCCTAGCACCTCCTTATAAGATGACAATGCTGGGACCTAGAACTCCCCCCCCCCCCAACCACACACCTCACCCCAGCCTGACAGGGGGATTAGACTCAGTGCCTAATATCAAATAAGAGAGGGACAAGCAAAGTAGTCCTTTTAACTCACAACACTCCTTGCGGCAGAACACTCACCCACGGGGCAAGCGTTCCTCTGATCATACAGAAAACATCTCTGGATTCTGTGGTTGTTTCGGGGATCTGTTCTATGCATTTCCCTATTTACAGGAAAATGAAAATTTCCTGCAGTGAGAGGCAGAGTGCTGGGATTCAGTGCTCAAGGCTATGAGCCAAGCACAGTGGATCTAATGCAAATGAGAAAGTAAGAAAGTGAAATCCTTGGCACACCAGCAGCTACCTTGTGATATCCATTTTCAGCTATGGATTTCGTTCACTACATACTGCGTGGCAAAGTCAAGTGAAACACAAGTAAAACCCTCACCTGCAGAGGGAAGAAGGTCACTTCCACTGCAACATTCTCGGTCTTAAACCACCTCAACATTTCGTTACATATAAATATAATATCCCTATTTGTCTGAACACCTCTTACACACAGGACACACGGATCAGAACACAATGAAGTTCAGTACCCAGAATGCTACGCTTCCAAGTTATGAAGCCCTCTGGGAAGATAGGTTGGAGCCAAGTACATCAGCCCTCTACAGGGCAGGCTCCCCACAGCTTAAACATAGAGCAGTGTTTATGGAAGACCCTAAGAAGTGGGGAGACAAGAACCCTTCTCGACTTGTAGACCCAGGCAGGTGGCCTCACACCACAAGACAGAATATTTGCTACCACCATCCTGAGCTGTTCTAATGAAACCAAAAACCTTTGGTACCAAGTGTACTAGAAGTCAGGCAGGTCTCCAAGAGAGGCAGGGGAGCCAATAACAAAGGCAGCAAGCCCAGCTCAGTGAGGTGGTAAGAGCAACCAGCTGCCTATACATTGTGGAGATAGCATCTGTCAGTTCTTGATAACTCAAGACCCATACCAAACTACTCTTCAGCACCAGTGAGAATACAATCTACTCATTCATAAAGTGCAAACAATAGGGAGGACCCAGTCTTTGCCTAGTTAGGCTCACCCTACAATCTGATTTTAGGCCTGCTCTCCACTAGGAATTTACATCAGTATAGCTACCTCTCAGGGCTGTGAAAACCCCACACCCCTGAGACATAGTTATACCAATTTAACCCCAGTGTAGGCAGTGCTAGGTTGACAAGAATTATTTCATCAGCCTAGCTAATGCCTCTCGGGGAGGCAGATTACTACACCGATGGGAGAATCCCTCCTGTCAGTGTACCTAGTATCTACACTGAAGCGCTAAAATGGCACAGCTGTGTCACTTTAGCATTTTAAGTGTAGACATACCTGAAGCGAGCAGGTCCAGAGGACTCCCTTTGGATGAGACTGCAGGATTTGAGCCTCAAAGGTGAACTGAAATGCATTTTATACCCATTAGGACTAGAGTTCAGGGAAGAGAATTCTATTAACACCTAAAACCCAGCAAAAAGCTGCCTTCTTTCCCCCGCGGTGAGTGGCAGAAACATCGCCAACTCTGGCAGGTGAAGGGCAGCTCCCTGAATTCTGCTCTTGGCAGGCAAGTGTCAGAGGAGACTTCTGATCTGGAAGGGTAATTATATTTGCCCATCCATGCAGTGAAGGAATTCGGATCTCAAACCGATTTGTGAAGATATTTTAATGGCATTTCAGCTCCCCTAAGGCGTCCTTGCAAAAGCACAAGGCCCGTTAGGGACCGAATCGTAGAGATCTCCGCAGCTCCCTTCCCCGTGTGGGCCTGTCCACCGGCACAGCCAAACCTCGGGCCAAGTCCGGGGGGCGGCGCATTCTGCCAGGCTGCGCTCCGGCCCCTCACTTCATGCCGACCAGCAGCACCATGGCGGAGAGCAGGAACACGGCGACCGAGAACTGCGTCAGCCTGTCCGCCTGCCACCGCTTGGCCGCCTCCTCCTGCCGCCGCTGGCGCTGCTGGCGCCGCTCGCGGAGGAGCTGCTCCCGCTCCAGCTGCTCGCCGTAGTGGGCGCGGTAGAAGGCGTCGAAGTCGAAGACGGGCGCGGCGGGGGGGCGGCGGGCGGGCGCGCGGCGCTGGCCGGGCGGCGGGGGTGAGGGCGGGGGCCGGGCGGCCGAGCTCAGCT